GTGGAGATTGGGCTCTTCCTGAGGTAGGGAAGACCTGTCCTGATTCATGTTGCAGATTAAGTACCTGTGGGGCATCTGCGGAAACGGGGTTACCAGTCAGCATTCACTCTCATTGCCTAATTCCCGGCAGGCCATAGACGCGGAAAGGGTAATAATGACAGATCCCTTTTGAAACAGCAGTGTTAGCATCTGGACAGTCACCTGCATGCAGGCAGGGGAAGGGCGGGAATGAGAAACAGGACTCTGAGGTTGCTGCTAAGCCTGTGTTATCTTAGATTAGTGGTGCCCTTCACAAGGTAATGGCCTCCAATGGAGACAGGGTGTGGGTGTCTGAGTCCGTGTGTGTTTCTGTATTAGATGAAAGATAGCAGATTAGCTAATTTATCTTGGAGTATGTCCAGTCCGAAGGGCCTACCCAAAACCTGCACTCCCCCATACAACAGATCCTTGGAATGCCAGCCTGATGTTCAGGTCGCCACAGGGCATTTAACCATGGGAGACATGACTATACATCATGGTAATGACTCAGAACGTGGGAATTCATGAAAGAGAGCACTGCATATTGATTTCTGGAGAATGTTAATATTTAAAGAATGAGAAGTGAAAAAGGACCCAACAACAAAGTCTCTTAGTCACCAAGGAGGTGGGATGAGAACCAGGTTTCCATAAAATGGGAAAGACAAGAGTTTTACCAGATAAAGGAGTGAGAAATGCTTTCATGTTTGACAATTAAAGACAGACTTATCAGATTTATGATTTTGTATGATTCTCATGGTATGATGTGAGAGAAATAATAGAATAATTAATAATGAGGGGTTATAAATTAATAAATTCTAGAAGTGTATCCATCAATCCAAGTGCCTGATATACGAGAGTGGGATAGCCCCAAGAGGTCTTACCCAGGAGGAGAGTTTAGACCAGGGCAGGGGTTTATAGATGGACAAGAAAGAGTCAGTCTCTCACTCTCTCTGTCAAATCAATCAATCAATCAATCAACCAATCTTAAAAAAATAAAAATAAAAAAAAGAGTCAGGAGAAAGGAGGACATTGCTGTAGTGAAAGAAAGGGAACAAAACAGAATAAGAGTAGAGCACAGGTGAAGGTGGGTTAGGGGAGGTTAAAGCAACAAAGAGGGGTAAGAAGTGGAACAGAAGATAGGAACTGAAGAACAAGAAAAATGGAAGGAGGTGAGGTAAGAATCGAAGGACTCAGCTCCATATGAGACTCTGTCTTCATGAATCAGGAATTTCGATTTTCCGAGGTATGGAATCTTGTTAAGGGTAAAGATGAGTTTTCTCAAAACTGGCCATATATTAGAGCTGCTTTGTTTTGTTAGGTGAACTCTCTCAAAGGGGCTCTACGGTGAGTGGCCAGATGGCTGAAATAAAACCATGTCAGGGTGGAGTTGAGGCCTCCCTATTTTCAAAGGTTGCTTGGGGAAATCTCTCTATTCAATTAGGATCAAGAACAGTGATTTATGAAAGTTGTAAGAGTTTAGGAATAGCATCTATGGAGTGTGGACTAGATAGGTAACCACTGATAGGAAAATCTACATCTTTAAAATATTAAAATTATATCTCAAAATCTGTATCTTCAATACCAGACAATTGGTTTTTCAAGAAAACCAGCCATGTGTGAAATGAGACCTAGGAGAACAGAGCATGACATCCATGAGTGTCACCGTGTAGGATTTCATTGATGGCCTACAAGACGGTCTTTCTTGCAAAAAATCATTCTCACACCAGTAATTTCCCCCTAAACACAAGATATGCTAATAATCTGATTATACTTCGTTTCCAGTTATAAAGGACGCAGATGCTGTTTTGGGGTAGTGCTCTTCCAGATGTGGCTCACAAACCACTCTGTTCCTATTTATAACACTCAGGCATAGGAGATATAAAGTCAGAGGACCAATTTATAACAGAATTGCTAATAAGGATCTGGTTCCTCACATCTTTATGACCAACCTGTCCACTGCTTAAGGCTCCTCCTAACAAGAAGGGGGTAGACTCAAATAGTCGAGTATGTACTTACATCAGGCCAAGAAAGTCTCATGGCCACATTGAAGATGATAGATTAAAAACGATCTGATTAAAATATACTTAAAATCTAGGGATGCCTGGGTGGCTCAGCCAGTTAAGTGTCTGCCTTTGGCCCAGGTCATGATCTCAGGGTCCTGGGATCGAGTCCCACATTGGGCTCCTTGCTCAGCAGGGAATCTGCTTCTCCCTCTACCCCTTCCCCTGCTTGTGCTCTTTCTCTTTCTCTCTCTGACAAATAAATAAATAAAATTAAAATAAAATAAAATATACTTAAGATCTGTTATCTAAGGTGCTCTCTGCTGAAGAGTGCTCACTGTCCCCTTGGCTTCTAATATCCTCACTGTTTCTGACATAAGAATACTAACCAAATGTAAACCAGTTGATCTTGGGGTCAGCGGGTAAAGGCAGGCTGGTGAGGGGCTGGGGTGCGCGCAGCACAGAACCTATTCTGCGACTCTTACAAGGCAGGTGCAGGCCACAGTTCTAATCAGTTTGCTTTATTTACAAACCTTTCTCTCAACAGGAAATCTATTTCCTTTTATTTCTAGGCCCCTGGAGGATGTTTTAGAGTCATACCATTCTGTTACCACATAGTGGGAATAACATTTAAAATACTAATTATAAGGTTTCATTTCTCGGTGCTTAAATAATTTTAAAAATAGAGCCACATAGACGTAAACAATATTCTATCTTCATAATCTGTGTGGTTCTGGGAGATATATAAAATATGAATCTTTAAAGGCAAGAAAAGATCTATTTTATAAAGAAGTACATAAGGGAAATGAACTTTTGCAGCCTGCAAATGCCAGAAATAAGCTTTTGATCCCCTCGGGGAAACATTCTTTGAGATACGGTTCCACCACATAATTGCTATGGTTTTCTTAGTTACACTTTCCAGTTCCCTGCTGTTTTTTTTTTTTTTAATACATATATGTGTGTGTGTATATATATGTGTGTGTGTGTGTGTGTGTGTGTATATATATATATATAAACTTGCTCTTATTTTCAATTATGTTATTATAGAGATGAGAATCAGGTCTAATTAAATAAGAACATGACAACGATTGTCATTCCTTGATCTGTATAAACTGTAATTTTGCTGCGTTTGTAGTAAGCGCCTTGGTAAAGATAATTGTCACTCCCCAGGTCTGCCAATTGACTAGAAATAAAGACCAGTGCGTTTATACCTTCCTGTTCATTCATATCCACTTGTCTGTAAGTCTCCCTCTGTCACCCCTGAGAAAACATTTATTAAGCATCTACTATACTGAGCATCTACTATAGGCTAGGCACTGTGAGTATAGATGTTATGGATGCAGAAATAAACTAATCAGAGTTCTGTTCTCAAGACAAATGGTTGAAAGGGCGGATTTCATCAATATGAGACATTCACAAGCAAGATAGGAATGAAATGCATCTGGCTTTCCCCCCGATACCAAATACAGCCAAGGGTATTCACGCATGCAAGCACGTACAGGTGAATTTCCAGCCTTTCCAAAATTTTTTATGACCATATCTAATGATATAATGTAATTGCTATGTAAGATGTAATTTAGTAATAATTGGGAGCTATTCAAATACTCCAAAAAGTATATGGAATCATGGCTTTCCTGACCTGGTCGTTACTTAGAATTATTGAGTCTGACTCTCAGATTTAGAGGATAATCTACATCAGTGATCCTTACATGGTTGGGCAACTGAAACTCGTGGGGTTCGTTTTTCTAATATCAGTAAAGTATGTATTGCTTGTAGAGCTTCAGATCCAGGAAAGCGGATGTGAAATCTTGGTTGTCTGTATTTCTAAAACTCCCTGGAAAATTCTGCAGTACAGCTAGTTTGGAAAGTACTAGATTCAATTCTCCAGATTTCTAAAAACCCTCAAGGATGAATATTATGACTTATCTATGACTCATACTCAAAATACAAAAAAAAAAAAACCCCGCATATTTTGAGATAACTTGTAATTAATTTAAATGCAGTAAGTACACAGTTAATAATAAAAATAAGACAAATCAATGAGAAGGATTTTGCCCAATTTCTGTGTTTTCAAAGACACCGTTTACTATGTAATTCTAATTTTCTCTGTTGTAATGATTCCGCTTTTTTTTAAAGATTTTATTTATTTATTTGAGAGAGAGAATGAGAGAGAGAGAGCACATGAGGGGGGTGGTCAGAGGGAGAAGCAGACTCCCTGCTGAGCAGGGAGCCCAATGTGGGACTCGATCCCGGGACTCCAGGATCATGACCTGAGCCGAAGGCAGTCGCTCAACCAACTGAGCCACCCAGGCGCCCAAGTAATGATTCCGTTTTATGTCCAGGTATCCACTAACAGTTTTATCCACTAGTTTATTAAGGCAGTCTTCTGTCTTTATCGCCAAGGGAAATTTAACCCATATTTGCAGAAGTTCAAAATAATTTGAAGTTTTCAACTATATGTCTAATACCTGAAACTTAAGTGTTTTAAGTATATTATTATATTAACTATTTAAATATATTCATAGCATTAAATTTTTAAAAATCAATTATAAACTGGTCAAATAGCTATGTTTACATTTAATAACTAGTTAATTCCATTTTAGAGTGAATATAAATGGGGCACCTGGGTGGCTCAGTCAGTTAAGTGTCTGCCTTCGGCTCAGGTTGTGATCCCAGGGTCCTGGGAACAAGTCCCACGCTGGGCTGCCTGCTCAGGGGGGAGTCTGCTCCTCCCTCTGCCCCTCACTCTGTACTCTCCCCGCCCCCAAATAAATAAATAAAATCTTTAAAAAATAAAGTGCATACAGATACATTTTTATTTAAAAAGTAAACATAAATCTAAAGCTTTTTAAGCTAAAGTTATGTCATATCATGAGTCTGAAGTTCATTTTCATTTCTTCAGCAGTTTCTTAACCTATGCATTGCATAATGCCCATGGAAGTAACTGCTTTGTGTAAATCTTCATACCATACGGGGAGTTACCTGAATGACACTGTCGCCGGGGCTCATGTCTGTATACAGATAGACATTGTAGGATATTTCAGGGAAGGTTGGAGTGTTATCATTTGCATCCATCACCCGAATATTGACAATAACTGGCTCACTCTCCTGCACACCATCGAATGCCGTTATCTTTGGGGATAGAAAAATACATGTAACAGAAAAGTCATGCAAACATAAGCAGTACAGAATTCACTCTCATGATTTAAGATGTTTCTTATATATAATTTCAGTTTTAAATGGGTGCCAAAATGTTTTGTTGATAAAAGGAAATAAACCTGCAATAGTACATATAAGCAAAGTATTTTAATGTGCTAAGAAGCAATTACAGAGAATTCTGTTTTATTTTTAATATATTTCAATTCCAAGCACATTTTAAATAAGCAGACATGTAAAATGTCTTAGAGGCTTGGAGTGAGCCAGTAACATTGCTGATTCTTAGGAGTTAACTACTACTTAATTTTTTTTAAAAAAATAGGAAGTTATTCTTCACTTTTCCATATTTTGTATACAATGCCATAGATGCTTTTATAGCCAACATACTTAGATCACACAAGGAAGTAGGTGCCCTAGAGATGTGTTGTCTTTTTCTGGTAATTCACAAAATGACAATTTTTAAAGGACTTATTGCCATTAGTTAATAGTGATATCTTAATTACACCATTAACATTTTAGGAAGGCCTGGCAAACAAAATCAGCATTATAACACTGCCATCTTTGTTCTGAATGACGTCCGAAATCCACTTTGTATCTAAGTTCTAACTGTCAGGTTTCCTGGAATCTCTGGCTCTGCTGCATTAGGTTCTCCAGAAGGAAATCCTATATAAGTCCCACAATCTCTACTTTTCTATCAGCTCATTTTCCACTTATATCCGAATAAAATCTAGCTCAGAAATTTGGATAATACAGCTTTCTTTTCATCTATATTCACTTCTCAACTGCACTAGTCATATATATATATATATATATATATATATATATATATTTCTATTTTATGATAACTATTTGAAATTACAGTTTAATAACCTCCCTTTACCTTTTTTTTTTCTTGATTAAACTATACTAGGATCTCTCCATCAGATAATTCTTTGTTTCAGTGTGTGTGTGTGGGGGGGCGCTCTCCTGTGTGTTATAAGCTGCTTAGCAGCATCCTTGTTGTCTCCCTCCCTGATGTGAATAGCATCCCTCACAGTAGTGATGGCCAATATGTCTGCAGATGTTGCCAAATGTGTCCAGGGGATGGGCTTGGAGGGGCGCAGGGATCATCCCAGTGGAGAACCCCTGGCCTAACCTTATGGCAAAATTTAAAATATAATAACAAAAAAAACCAACCCATAAAATAAGTTAAAATAAACTATGGATTAGGAAATAATTCTTTACTTGTGGATTCTGCTGATAACATCTCAAATTTAAGTCAATTATGAGTGTACGGTGAAAAATGAGACCCCTATTTTCCTGTTTCCATCTTGAACATTATTTTTCCTCTGTTGGAAAGAATGTTAACACAGCTGCACAAACTTATAAAACAGAAAAAGGAGAAATACATGTGAAGAATTTTATTATTGATATTCTCAATTCTAAATTCCTTGAAAATATTGTATTTTTTCCTCCTAAATCATTGACTTCTTTGGTTTTAAACAGATATCTCTTTCTGTTACACACACACACACACACACACAAATGTGTATACAAAATCTTTTTACCGAAAAAGTGTAAGTCTGCTGTTCTTCCCTGTCCACTGGCTGAAGTAAGGTGAGGTAGCGAGTAATGCCAGTTTGTGTAACAGTGAAGACTGAGGTGTAATCATTCAGGAAAAGGTGAAGCTCTGGGTCTTTCATCTTTGAAAAAAAGAATGCCATTATTTAAAATGGTGAATACATAATGCAGCTATTAGTTCATTAACTGGAGATTCATTTTGCAAATCTATCACAAAACTATGCATGACTGTAGTAAGACTTTCCAAAGACAAGATAGGTTTCACTAGACATTCACTCATCACTGAGCTGGATTATGCAAAGACAATGACCCCTTTTGTGGAAAACACCATAGCAGAATGAGTACAAGTACAATTAATGTGAGTAAAAGGAAAAGAATAGCATAGATAACAATCCAATTGAATATATTCTTTTTGGTTACTCAATATCAATATTCTCCAGAACTTCGTTGGGCTTGAGAAATAAGAAATAAATGCAAGAAAAGAAAATTGGAGGCCAAAATTTTAGCTGTAGGATTGTACAACTACTTCATTTGTAGTAATAAACTGTACATATGCCTATTATTATTCTGTTCTCACATTTAATGCAAAATAGAAATAAAATTGGTTATGTATAATTCATTACCTATAAATATCATGCTTGCTTTTTCTTACTTTAATGCTGCAAAGGCTCTCCAAAGGGAAACATAATGTTTATTTTAATTTAAAAATTTCAGATGATTACATTGAAGGTATATGAATTGGCTGCATTGTGTCTGATAAGAGTCCAGAAAGATGACATATACATAAAGAAGGGATTGCAAAAGTTCAAAACAGAGATAATTATGCATTGGCAACCCTTCACAGTTTCACTGCCCTCCTGAAAGATAAGATTAATCTCTGCATGTTGGAGAAAGAACAAGGATGTAAGTGGGGAGGCATGGACTGATGTCTGGTGGTGGAGTAAGAAGGCAGGTGGGGCAGGGAAAAGATTAGTGAGAGACAGGACCACAGACAAGGATTTACGCAAACAACAGCACAGACATGACACAGGGAGGTGAGGTGTTTCTGTAGGTTTTGACAACTATAAAAATATTATGCACTAAGGGGAGTGGGGGATACAGGCTTCCAGTTATGGAATGAGTAAGTCACGGGGATGAAAGGCACAGCACAGGGAATAGCATCCCTGGTCCTGTAAGAGCATCATGTGGTGACAGATGGGAGCCATGCGGGTGCTGAGCTTGGCGTACAGAGAAGTCACATTGCTATGGCGTCCACCTGAAACTCATGTCACAGCAAGTGTCAACTAGACTCAAATGAAAAATACACATTATGCATAGCATAGTGTGATGTGTAACTTAATATCATAGATTACTTCCCAAAGTCTGAATTCAGGTGCTGAGGGCAGAGTATAGAGTTTGGAATTGTTAAAGACATGTTCATTTGATTAAAAAATTAGAACTCATCTTTTTTTTTAAAGATTTTATTTATTTATTTGACAGAGAGAGAGAGACAGCGAGAGAGGGAACACAAGCAGGGGGAGTGGGAGAGGGAGAAGCAGACTTCCCACAGAGCAGGGAGCCTGATGTGGGGCTCGATCCCAGGACCCTGGGATCATGACCTGAGCAGAAGGCAGACGCTTAACCTACTGAGCCACCCAGGCACCACTAGAACTCACCTTTTAAAAATTTCTATGTGAAAGTGAGAAAGTTGAAATGTTTCCTACTATATTAAAAGGTACACCTTATTTGATCCACAGATACTGTAATCTCTATACCTTTTTAAAGATTCAATATGTGTATATTTCAAATAACTCTGAAATGAATGGTTTCATTTGAACCTAACACAAGTTCTCTATTTGTAGTATCTCATTAGGAGATAGCATTTAGCTATACTATTGTAGCTTCTACGTCCATGATTGTGATATAAGTCCAGTATGCTACATTTATTGATCCTGGAACAAGAAAAAAATAATACTATAGATAATCATTTCCAATGGTCTCTTTATTATGAAATAAAGTTGTTAAGAGCTGTGAAAGTCAGAGGCTTTCCATTCATACTTTTTCTTTTTTAATTTTTTATTTTAATTCCAGTATAGTTAACATGCAGTATTATATTTCAGGTGTACAATATAGTGATTTAGCAATTCTTTTTTTTAAATTTTTAAATTATTTTTATTTTTTAATTTATTTTATTAACATATAACATATTATTTATTTCATGGGTACAGGTCACAGATATTCCCAAACAGGAACCTCAGGCTCCATGTCAGTGTTGTGACCCCCATTGCTCAGCATGGCTAGCAGGGAGGGTGTTTGGATAATCAAGTATGTTAGTTAATAAAAAGTTTATTTATTTTAAAAAGTAGACTATAAACTGCATGTAAACTCAACATATCTTGAACCATATTTTGAGGTTGCTTCTTATTGCGTACTTTAAGGTCAACTGCAATAAAATCCAATGGTTACTTTTAAATGAGCAGAAAAGTTAGAATGCAGTTTCAATTAACAACAACAACAAAAACTATGTAAGTATGAGTGCCTGTCATTTTTTAGTGTTTATCCTTGATTTTACCAACCAAGGTAAGATCACTAGGCTGTTAAATTTATATATTTTTTCCTATTCTCTGAGTTTACCCACAATGGTGCCAAAGAACACCTTCCTTCACTCAGACCTGCAACAGCCAGTAATCCAAGCTGAGTAAGCTGAACAAGTTCTGGTATGGGACTTGACATAGCAAATATTTTCTTCCTTCCCTTTATTCAAGTCCTTCAGTCATTCTTTACTTGCTTATAACTGATATTCTCTCTCAATTTCTTTTCTTCCTTTCAACCACACCCTCTGTTAGTAAGTTTGTTAGATATATTCATTTGTATTCTCACCACATGTTGTAGGCGTGTTTTTTTGTTTTTTTGTTTTTTAATGCCAGGTATTGTGATGGTGCAAGACTACAGTGGATGTTGGGTTGTGAGCCAGCTTGTGCATATGTGAGACTGCACAATATGCTTGTGTTACAAACAACACTGTCCCTTTTCCCAGTTTATGGAAGCCGCAAGATTTTCACTGTCCAATGCTTCCCATTTGAAGATGATATACACACCAGGACTTCATAAACAGACTCTCATATTTTATAACCAGAAACATTAAAGACCTTTTGATAACTTAATTGTCTTCACTTCAAGTCCTGTTGTAATAACTAAAGCCTAAAATAACACTTCCCAGACATGCAGATTATTTTTTTGTAAAAAGATAACACAGAAAGCTATGATTGTCCATGGCATCTTACAATTCATTCTAATCTGTCCTGCTCAGTTAATCTCTGATTAAATTTTAACTTGTGAATTTTATGAACATTTCATGTAGTAACTTTTTAAAATCTACATATTGGATACATAGATACCATTGGTGATTATCTGGATATTTCTTTGAGGACAAGAATTTAAGAATACAGATTTGGAAATATTCAGCCAGTTATTACTCAAAGCTTAATACTTGGATTTATTTTTAAGGATAATACTAGTTTCAGGTGTGGTATATTATGAGTATAAATAGACAATGCTCTGGCTTATTATTCTGACAGGGACAATAGATTTCATGTAGTCCTTGTGTCTATAAATTTGTTTAAAATACATATTAGTTTTTTAACTAATTATTATGTACACAGAAGGCTGACTAATAAATGTTCTTTTCCCCTCTGACAAATGGTAATATTATTTTATCTAAAGTATATATTCAGTATATACCATAAGTATATCATTTTATTGATTTGTGTATTATTTTCTGAGAGGGTAAAATAAACTCTGATATTCACTTACAGCACAGAAAAAAAGAAGGCAAAAGTAAACACATATGCAAATGCAAAGATAAAGAAACACGTGAATGTAAAATTAGAAATTGCATCATATAGAAGACAGACATTTAAATATAACAAGTAATTGGATTTAAAGACAATTTTGGGTTTCCAACAGGAATCAAAATATTGTCTCATACACACACACAAGCTTATATGCATCCTCATATATATACACATATAACACAGAAATGTGTGTGTTTATGTGCATATGTATACATATGCATACTTACGTGCATACATAAATTATAAAGTGTAACAAGAAATGACAAAAAATTTAATCTCATCTGCCAATTTGAATTGGTCAGCAGTGGTTGTCTTCAGACAACCTTGTTCAAAAAGGTTCAATTCCACACTCAGAATCTTTTAGGAGGAATACGGTGATGGATTATGAACATCTGTCATGACTGCAAAAACATTTAACAATTGAATAATCTTTGTTAAAGTTTATATGCAGTTTGGATTCCACACAATTCATTCTACTCAAACCAATAATATGAGGAACATAGATTTAAATTACATCTACAAGCATATATATATTTAAAGTAGTTGTAGATGTCTTTATAAGTGATAATGAAGTAACTGTCTACTTGTTTTAGTAGAAAAGAAAAAGAGCTAGGAAATGAACCACAGCAATTCACAAAAGAGCAAACACAAAATAAACACCCAATACCTACAGGAATTCCACCAGGTGGGACCTATTTACAAATTTAACATTAAGAAAAAAACAATGTAAGCATAAATGACTACAAACATACATACAGCATACATGTATACACTAGTAAGAAACAAACAAACAACAGCAACAACATTTTCCAGTACATTTAAACTAATAACTTTTTTCAAGGTGCATTTTTGTCTTCACATTCTGACCTTACATAGAACAGCATAAGAATATGTATGAGGCATATAAGCGCAGGATACCTTTAAGAGTGTATTGTATTAGATTCAAGGATGCCTTTATCTTGAAACAGTAGCACTTTATGCAGGGACATGAATCCAGCTGGAATTATAAGTTACTCACTGCCTACAAGCCAAGTGGGTAACCTCTGTAGATTACTAATCCCTGTTATGTATTTTTTTGGAACCAGAATTCAATAATCAACTTTCAGTTGTTTGGCTTCTGAAAACCTGGTGGTTTCTGACATCCTCTTGAAAACCTTGGGCATGTCTTGATTTACCCATCTTCTGGGCTGTTTTGAAATTATGAGCTAAGAATACTTGAAAAAACACATAAATGCAATTCATATTTTTCTATATATAATATTTGTATCTATATGTTGATACATTTTTAA